AGCTAGACTTCATATGTTTCTATATAATATATATGACTGTGTGTTTTAATCTGTCTGTCACTGTTTTTATAGTTTTTCAGCAATGTTGTAACCTTACAATTCTTCTAAGAAATTCACCCCCGATTCTAGTGCAGTTTGTACTGTGTATCCTGCCTTATGCATGGGATTCCACTGTCCCCTCAGTGAGGAATTTCCTCTCCTATTGAGTTAGTAGCAGAGTTAAAGGAACTGTGATTTCTAGGCCTTTGCTCTCCATGTGTTTGCAGTTGGCTGTCAATCACTATTTACCCTTTCTTGAGTTTTCATTGTTCAATTAGAATTTTTGAAAATAACTATTAATATGTTGCATTGGTCTCCCTAGAAACTTGATGTATTTGTGCTTTTCAGTTTCAATTTATGAAAAATGTAAATGCACTCTTGTTTTAACTAGTCCTTTTTCACTACATATTTGTTTACCTCTTTATAGTTAAAATATTTTTTCCCAATGAATGAATCGGTGTGCATGTTTTAAAAGATACCTTACTTTTTATTTTTCTTATTGTAACGATAGTATTCATTACAGAGAATTTAGAAAATATGGATAAACACAATAATAACTTAAAAATGGCCTCTAATCTCACCTGGAGATACAGTTTTAAGATTTGAAATTGAGAATTACAAGTCTTCTAAAGTTGTTCTTCTTTTTCAAGTACATTTTGGTTACTGAGACCCTCGAATTCCCATGTGAATTGTAGCAGCAGCTCATCAGTTTCTGCAGAGGAGCCCGCTGGGATTGTGATCGAGACCACGTTGACTATACGGATCACTCTGGGGAGCACTACCATCCCAAGAGCGCTCTCTTGTGATCCAGGAATGTGCGTGGTGTGTCTGTCCAGGTATTTAGGACTTCTTTAATTTTTTTTCAACAATGCATTCAGTTTACATAGTATTATTTTACTTTATTTTTTTGCCTTTATACTGAGGACAAGTGTGCCAGGTACCGGGATCAGAAGTGTATTTGAGCCCCGCCACTTGCTGCCACCATGAACGCTGCACTCTTGCTTCACACGCTGTACAATCTTACACAAAATAGGACCTCAGTAACTCTCTTCAATGAATGATTATATGATTGTTGGATGATGCTTGAGAGTCCTTGTGATGATGTCTTTTTCCCAGCCTTTCCCCTCTTCTTAACTATGCCCTTTCTCTTCCTTTCCTCCAGCCTGGTTTTCAGCCTGCCTGTGGCATTGATTTTCCCTGTCTGTGGAATATTCCTTTCACTGGTTCATGATAATGTTACATGTGGGCTTTGGAAACTTGCTAGATGTCAAGAAAGAGCAAATCCATTGCATGCTAGTATTTTTAGACTGTAGTATTCTTTTATCGATTGAAATTAAATCAGGCTGACCACCTGAGCCCTCCCGTGAGCTGTTTTCACCTTCCTACAGGTGATACTGCTCTGGTTGCTGCATGTGCCCTTCCCCCAGCCTTGGTTTTGGAGTTGAGTAAGTCACCATCACTGGAGCCCTCTCTTTAAAAGATGAAGAGAACATTTGCTCCTTCTCCCTGGTTGGGGACTTGGATGAGATGAGGTACCAGATAAAGAATGGAGCCCCACCTCATTCTGACCCCAGCTCTTTCCGTTTCTTTCTCCAGGGGAAAAGAGTACAATTCAACAGTATAAAGAATGTGAGCTAATGAGATAGACAAGACAACCAAACATTTATTAAATATCCTTTCACGCCAGAAACAAATGTATTATACACACAAAAAGCACATAAAGCATGGTAATACTGTGGTTACAAACGTGGGTCTGAGTTCGAGTCCTGCTCTGGAGTGACCAGTCCTGTGAGATGGAGAACTGGTAGGTCAGATTAGCTTTCCCCGGACTTGTTTTCTGTCCTTCAGAGACGGGGTTCGATAGGCGTCCCCCCCTGTAGAGGTGCTGAGGGGTGTAAATGATGCGTGTGGGCAGCCCAGGCACAGCTGCTCGTTCCTCATAAGTGCAGGATCGCATAGCTTTTGCGGTGACCGCTTTATGACCGCCCTGTGTAGACTCTCAGTGCTCCGAAGGAATGCCTCGTCGTTTGGGGATGGGATTGTCACTTCTGTAAATACCCAAGGATTGTGTTATTGGGCCCTGCTGATTTGAATCTACTCTTTAGAAAGTACATATAGTAGATATATTTTTCAAGCATGCATGCTTTTTTCTTTTATTATTTATAGTTCTACCCTCTCATCTCTTGGTGTGACTTTTCATGGAATCCAGGAAACAGTCCTAAGCTACCTGCCTCTTCACACTTCTCCGTGGTGGTTTCCTTCCCTGACTAGAAGAGGGTTTTGCATTGCAAATTTT